TTTTCTTCCTCTTCTGTCTTTGTAATGACCGTTTGCACTCTTCCTGGATGATACCTTTGACATCCTCCCACAACTCATCTGGTCTTCACTCATTAGTGTTCAAGGCCTCCAACTTGTTCCTGAGAGGATTCTGAAATTCTGGTGGTATGAAATCAAAGTCATATTTTGGCTCCTGTGGATTTGGTTTAATTTTCCTCAGCTTCAGCTTGAACTTGCATATGAGTAGTTGGTGGTCTGTTCCACAATCAGGCCCCAGCCTAGTTTTCACAGCTGATATTTAGCTTCTCCAGCGGTTCCTTCTACAGATGTAGTCGATCTGATTCCTATGCTTACCATCAGGTGAAGTCCATGTTTATAATCTGCGTTTGTGTCTCTTATAAAATGTATTTGCAATGAATAAGTCATTGATTTTACAAAATTCAATCATTCTGTCTCCAGGTTCATTCTACAAATTAGCCATTAAAAAACCTGGTGGTCACTCATACTGGCCCACTCTTGGAGATGGTGGAGCATAGGGCACTAATGATACATTCTGTTATATTTGGGATTCTTACAGGTCAGACTGTCTAGCAGCTAAGAACAACAAAAATGGTTACCTTTGAAGAATTTTCTTAGTTATTAGTTGTCATGCTAAACTCTTGTTAAATTTTTTATCTTTAGATTTTGAGAAGTATGTTGTACAGAGGTTCTGAAGTTATGCGAGAAGTTGCTTGGGTCATATTTGATGAAATACATTACATGAGAGACTCAGGTATTGTGGATATTCCATGGTAATTGAGATTTGACAATTTTATCTACTTAAGACTGACATAACAAGAAGTTAAAGTTGGCTTTGGATCTTGGTGTATTTACTAGAGTTCTTGTAAACATTTTCTTAAAATTGATGACATTATTTCTGATTAAATCTAAATGAAATATAGTGCCTCAAAGAGTCATTTTTGTTGAATGGGGGGAAAAAGTCAAGAAAAGGACAGGAAACAATTTGCTTGTAATAAAGAGATCTCTAATAAAACTAATGTTGAAGAGTTCTTGAAAGTTCTGGCTTACAACACTAACTTGTTGAATTTTATTAAGTAATTTAAAATCCAGTTTTAAAGTTAGAAAGTGACACTAACTTTCAAGGAATGTTTCTTGTTTTTTCAGAGCGGGGTGTGGTATGGGAAGAAACTATTATTTTGCTTCCAGATAATGTCCACTATGTCTTTCTTTCGGCTACTATTCCAAATGCCCGCCAGTTTGCTGAGTGGATCTGTCACTTACATATACAGGTATATTCTTTGTCTTCATAGTTATCTTCAGTATTAAAAATAATTAGTCACTCAACCTTATTATGATGTCCTACTTTGTTACTAATGCTGCTTAGAATAAATAATTTTTTTAAATTGAGATTTTAATGAAGGTTTATAAAGAACTTGGATTTCTATTCTTTCATTGCTGCAAATTTTCCTCCCTGCCTCTCCTCCCCCCAGTTTGCTTTTTTCTTTGTATAAAAGTCCTTTCATTGTTATACAGTTCTCCTCGTCATCGTCCCCTGCCCCAGACCACTTTACTATGCAGCTCTTATTCTGGACTCTAGGCATGCCAATAATACCAAATCATATATTCATTTTATACAGTTTTCTCCATTGTCTTTTTCAATGAGTAAAGAAATTTTACATGAAATCAGGCAGTTTATCAAAATCAACTGACTTGCTTTATAAAAGTGTTGATTTATGAGCTGTCCCAGCCCCAAAACATCAGTCCATCTTAGAAGTGCAACTGGGGTGCTCCTTAGTAGCAAGGATGCGGAAACTTGTTGAACCTACTTTGAGCATGTTGTCAAGAGAGGCCAGTCTTTGGAAAATACACCATGCTAGGAAAGGTAGGTCTGAGAAAGAGCTGCAGACCCTCAATGAGATGCATTTATGCAGTGACAACAACAGTGGACTGAAGCATGGCAGTGATTATGAGGATGGAACATTGTTGGGTAGGGTTTATTGTTGTTCATAGAGTTACTATGAGTTGTATTCAACTCTGTAGTATCTAGCACCAACAATAACAACATCATTCATTGCAAACCAAAAATAAGTTAAAATTTCGGGGAACAAGACATATATATAGCTCTAGTTTTGAAAATTCCCTATTTGGTTCTGATCTCTGTGGTAAGTAAAAACTCATACAGTTACTACATTGAGCCCTACAATATTGTAAAGAAGTTTCTCTCAAACTTTGGTACCAGGAAAATCTGGGCATCTTCTAAGCATCTGATTTTTTTTTTTTAATATGAACACTATAATAACATTCCCCCCATGTTGTTTCTGTAAAGTAGGAACCAGTGGATCTTCAGGAACAACTAAATCTACCTAGTGCTTCAGTATGATTTAGGACGCCTTTTGTATCAGCTTGCTTCTGCTTCATAGAAACAGAGGTATCCTGTTAATTATACCATTCCAATTTTAGGTATAGACCTGTGATGATTATTATTAAAGCTTAAATTATATACATAGTCATGTTTAGGGAGACGTTAAGTTGATACTTTTTCATTATTTTTCCTACAGGTTTTAGATCCTCAATGACTTTTAGATAAATAAAATAGACCAGTCTGTTTTGGATAAATAAAATTTAATATGTTTAATTATTTTTTCTCACTTTTTTTAAACAGCCCTGTCATGTGATTTACACAGATTATCGTCCTACTCCATTGCAACATTACATTTTTCCATCTGGAGGAGATGGCCTTCACCTGGTGGTTGATGAAAATGTAAGATGATATTCATTTATACATTTTATTCTGTATTATAGCTTTATTCTTGTTTTTATTCAATTTGCAAAGTGGCATTAATGAAATCAGTTTATTTTTTAACTTGGATAGCTTTGGAATGCAAAACTGATTATACTTTCTTTTAAAGATATGGTCCAGATTTTTGTGTGTTTTGTTTCATAAATTTTATTTTTTCCAAATTCTTGGAGAATGCATTGAGTATGTTTCAGATAACCCCTGTTCTTTTTTTCTTACTTTTATTGTCTTTTTTTAATTCCCTCTATCATATATCATTTGAGAATTCTAAAAATCAGTAATTCCAGTTTTAAATGATGAATAATTTTTTTAAAGTATGATAAAATATTTGAATTATAATTTAGTGTTAGTGAAATTGCATAGAATAATATCTGATTACAGGGTGACTTCAGGGAAGATAATTTTAATACTGCAATGCAAGTGCTCCGAGATGCAGGTGACTTGGCAAAAGGAGACCAGAAAGGGCGAAAAGGTGGAACAAAAGGTAACTTGACCTTTGTTTTTGAAAGAGTATTATTACTGTATGTTAATTTTATGTTCAAATTACTCTGACATATGTTGGGTTTTACTTCTTTTTCCTCAAGAAACTATAAATACATAGTCAGTGATGAAATTGGGTGACTAAAGGTTGATTTTAAGCATTATGTAACTTAAAAGCCTACTACTATGTATTTTTCCTTTCTCACAGCTTTTTTTGGATCTAATCCAAATACTGGTAAAACCACCATATTAAAGTGTACATACATACATACAGTTCAGTGGTTTTTGGTATAACCACTGAGTTGTGCAACGATCACCACCAGACCTTTTCTGTCACATCCGAAGGAAACACCGTACCCATTAGCACTCAGATCTTTATTTTATTTCCAGCTTTAGTAAATCATTAATACACTTCAGTAGTTAGACCTTACCTATTTTGGATATTTCATAGAAATAGAACCATAATGTTCTTCCATGTTGCAGCATATGCATCAGTACTTCATTCCTTTTTACAACAAAATAACATTTCATTGTATGCATAAATCACACTATTTATCCATTCGTCGGTTTGTGAACATACATAATTTTCCAACTTTTTGGCTGTTCTACTGGTTTTACTACAGTGTTCCTTTAAGCTTTTAGGTGTAAACACAGTTTTCAGGTTTCTTTTCAGTAGTTACTCAGTCTTTATTGAGTGTGATTTTCATTTTTTGTAGATATAGAATGAAATTTTTGGGTCATATAGTGACTCCATGCTCAATTATCTGTGCAATTGCCATACTGTTTTTTAATATGCCATACTTCTTTTTTTTATTGATTAGTTGTGAATATATAATCTTCATATAACCTAGGTACAGGTGCCTTATTAGAAACATAACTTGCAGGAGTTATCTTGTTCCATGGACTGTTGTTTGTATTTTTTTTTGAAGGAATTCACTGGATAAAATAGTTTAATTTGATAGAGTACAGTTTATAATTTTTTTAAGAGAAAAATGTTTAAGCTTTTGCTATCCTATCTAAAAAGTCTTTGCCTAAACCAAAGTCATAAAGATGTACTGCTGTATGTTCTTCTATTCATTTTACAGTTTTAATACTTGAATTTGTATTGCGTTCAAGATTAGTTTTCCTTTTTGTTTTTGTATATGATCATTTTTCCTTTTTACAGGACCATCAAACGTGTTCAAGATAGTGAAGATGATTATGGAAAGAAATTTCCAGCCTGTAATTATTTTCAGTTTTAGTAAGAAAGATTGTGAAGCTTATGCACTTCAAATGACCAAATTAGATTTTAACACAGGTAATACACACTTTTGATAGTTTTATTGTTATGTGAAAATATGTATAAAATACATTTCTTTCATATTTATTATGGTGTATTAGTTGTACAGTTCATTTTATAATTATAGTGGTGGATATTCAGTAATTAGATTTATAACTCATCTAAAGTCACATAGCTAAAAAAGTCAGCTGGGCCTTACATTGCAGTGCGTTGCATACCAACTTAGTTACCATTCAGTTCTAACTTTGATTAAAATCTTAACATTAGAAGTAGTATTTTGAGTTGTTGAAAATCAGGTTTCAGTTGTATTGTACTTTATCAAGGCCTGGTGTATCTTAATGGGTTTTTATTAAGTGAGTTGCTATGCTTATAATTGTTTTGAAATAACTCCTAGTGCTGAATATATGTGAAGTTGTATGTTGATTAATTCATCAAGTAATTGAATACCCACTATCTAGTAACAAACATCACAATTCAAAAGCATCAGTTTTGTCTTCCTTATTCCTTACCCAATTTGAAGTTGCATATAAAGCACATGAAAATACTGCAGCTTTGGTCAAGAACGCTTGAAACTGTCTTTAAACTGACATTTAGTTTGGCAGCAGATTTACCCAGAGCAACACATCTTTTAATTTGTTGATTGTTGCTCTCAATGATACTGAGTGTGGATCTATGTAAAATTAAATCTTTGATACTTCAATCCTTTTTTCCACCTGTTACAATGCTGCTGCCTTTTGGTTCAGTGGGGAGAATTTTTACTTCCTTGATGATTAGGTGTACTCAATACTGAAGACTTGATCTTGGATAAGTATCTTGAGTCTTCACTTTCAGCAAGCCAGGTTGTTGATCAATCTTCCTCCAATTCTAAAGCCACATTCTTCTTCGTAAAGTCCAGTTTTTCTTTGATGCCACATTCTTCTTCGTAAAGTCCAGTTTTTCTTTGATATGTTGTTTAGCATACTGATTGAATAGGCATGATAAAATCATATAATCGTAATGCCCCTTCTTACCTGATTTTAAGCCAGGCAGAATGCCCTCTGTTCAGGTTCTTGATCAGTATATATAGGTTTTGCATGAGTACAATTAATTGTTCTGGAATTCTCATTCATTTCAGTGTTACTCATAATTTATTAGTATGTGCATAGTCAAATGTGTTTGTATAGTCATTTAAAAGATAAGTATACATCTTTCTGGTATTCTGCTTTGAACCAGATGGTTCAGTGTCAACCAGTTCTAGTTGGCCAGGTAGCTGTCTTTGAAATTTGTTGGCATAAGACTGGTGAGCACATCTAAGAATGCTTCTCTTTCCTGAAAGACCTCAACTTGTATTCCATTACTTCCTGGGACCTTGTCTTTGTTATTGTCAAATTGGAACTGACACATAGCCGACCTACTGGTGGATTTTCAATCATATAGGAAGGATTTGCCCATCTATTTCCTGTGGATGAGGTGGTGAATTAGAACTATGTGCCTTTGGGTTGGCAGCACAACTTTTTTTTTTT